AATGTCGAATCTACTACGTATTTTATTAAAATTGATGTAAAATAATATAGAGGCATAGTTTTATAGATTATGCTAAATTTATCTAGGTAATTTAGGCACAAGTAGGAGTGGCTAACGGAAAGATTAGATAATTTGGTCGATATAACTTAAGTATTTCTTGATAAAACTGTGTGTGTGGAGATAGCATGGATGTAATGTTGAATGCTTAAGTGAGTGCTGCAAAAGAAGGCGGTGGGCCTTTTTATTCTTATAAGGGGTCGTCCATTAATCACGTGATGCTTTTTTCAGAATTTTGTACTTCCCCGTCTATAGTGATACATGGTGAGGTTTAAGCCTACACCCAAATCACGTGTATTTTTTATTACCTACAAAAATCCTAATATTTTGATGCCGCTTTTTGGTTTAGGAACCCCCTTGTGATATTTCGTGATTTTCGACGAACCCCTTTCGAGCCTTACGTGATTAATGGCTTAAAAACCTCTAGAGGTTAGAAATTAAATCAAAATAAGTTTGAATTACAGTCCTTATGTACTGGTTGATATTACTTTCGCATTGATAATATCAGTAAGGATTACACAAATTATCTTGTTCTACTTTATTATGGTCATTAAATGGTAATGAATCATAAAAGGTGTAACCCTAATGGTGTATTTACTTTAATCACGTTTAAGACTCGTGTCGCAAACTACAAATATCAACTAATCTTATGTTAACACAGTTGTGTACATAATCTCTACCTCGACTAATAACTTCTCTGGCTGTGAAGATGCCGATTTTTTTTCTTAGGTATTATTTAGGGTTATCTAAGATCGTGAAAATGCGACATATCTAATATTAGGCTTGTTGTGAGAATCATAAGAAGTGTATCTTTATTATAATTTTTAAATTACCTAATTTTGTAATTATGAAAGTTAAAATGAGCTATCTCCTCCAACACTATTTTCGGATCTACAGCCAACTCTGCTACAGCACCTAAAATTATGAAGAATAAAAAAATAGTAATCTATGAGTCTTAAAAAAGCAAATCATTGTTAGAATTTTAAATGATGTAATAGTTCCTTAAATGAATTCAGGTTTTTAATAATTTTTATACTCCTGTTGTAATTTAGAGTACGTTGCATCATAAATTATCGAAAAATGGGTTTCTTTAGAGTTAGTATTTCGAAAATATACGAAATTTCATTTTCGGGGAAATAGAATAGAACTTTGGGTGCCTTGTTAAATTGTACCAGTAGAAATATAACAATGTTATTGTTTTTTCATATTCTGAAGTGTCACGAAAGTACAATGGAGCGGGGTATACAGGTTACGCTAATTCTACATAATAATATACTCGTAATACAAACAATATCCAGCAAACAAAGGGAAAATGAGTAAAATAAATATAAGCTGTGAATAAACAACGCATGACACGTTTCTTTATGCAGCTATAAAGGTAAAACGTTGCTTATTTTGTAATAGAAATTGTAGTTTTATAATAAAGAGTGTAAGCATATTATTATTAGCCTAGATAATACTCGTACGTATTAGGTATATAGGTAGTAAAATAATATATAAAAAAGAGATAGAGACTTGTGGAGTCCTGACTATAATTGCAAATTTTCTTTTTCTCGACTACTATCACATAAAAATTCTTTGGGTCTCTTCTAGTTGTTTTGCTGATCTCATCTCACAGCTATTCTTTTGTGGAATTATATTATAGTGGGTTCTAGTCATTTCTCGGGCATCGGAAACGGTTGAATTTATTTTTATTAAAAAAAAATTATTTTTATATAACATAATAGTTAGATATACTATAGTATAATAATGTCAATTTATGTAATGGATTTATTTGTGTATTGTGTTTGAATTAGTATCTACACCATTTTGCAAAAAATATTTAAGGAGTAAAAAGTCTACTTTTGCCGTCTTATTATAAAACGAAGACTCCAGTACCAGAGAGCTTATTGTGTTAAAGAATAAAATTTCCGAAAATTTCGAATCGTTCTTATAATTTCATTAAAATCACATTTGTGAATTTTATCTGTGCATCAGGCAGTGTCTGGTCTCACCTCCGCTGTATTATAAATTGTAGAAAAACGCGTTTCTTCGGAGTCGAAAATAGACATCATTTCGTTTTCGGAGAAACAGAATAGGCCGCCAGGGGCTGCAGTCTCGACAGAATTTGCAATCACTATCTTACCGAATTCAGTCGCTAACTCATTGCGATCGTAAATTAAAGATTATTGCAAGTCTCTACAGTTAGGTGTATTGTTATTTGTTAGGCACGCACCGAGTGCAACTGTCAAATTAGCGTTATTGGATAGTTTCCTAGTTATGACTCGGTCATTGATCTTTGGTATTGCTACTCAACGATCCCTAGTAAAATCGAGACTGTCCGATCAAAATAAGTCAACACGTTTTCAATTTGCTTAATGCGGCCAATGGTTCAAACTTAGTACTAACTTTTTATCACGTTTTATAATAAGACGGTTGGTGTATGCCAACAAATACTAAATCTATCAATCGTATAGATTGTACATGACAAAATATATAATGAGGCCTACTTTACATTCGTAATGATGCGTGCAGGCGAACATACAAGTTTATGGTTGTTGCGCAAACAACGATGTTTTTATTATATGTTGTTGGCTCAAGTTCAAAGTCTATCTTGATATTTTCTGAATTAGCTTCTGTTTAAAGATTTGTGTAAGATAATATAATTTAGCTTTGATGTGATATTTGGATAGTATTTGGTCGAGGATTTTCTTTTTAACGGACTTCAGTTCAACTGAGTAGTATCAGTGATTAATATATATTTTAGTATTTTAAGTGGTAAAGGATGTGTGAACTCGCAAGCTTTTCACGTTTACATTAAAATAATTAATCTGAACCTCATTTGAGGAATCCCTTTGAAATGGATTTTTTCATACTAAAATGATTAGAGAAATAAAAACTTATTGGTGAAGACATGGGAATGAAACTTAAGTAGTAGTATTTTAGGTAGAAAAATTAAATTTAATGATTTATCTATGTATGGATGGCTTTTTATCATATTGTTTTTTAACATTGAACCTTGTTACTTATTATCATAAGTTAGTAATTGGCTCTGAAAGATATAGGTCATATTGATTGATCTTCATGATTGCTTTATTTGTGTTAACTAATTACCTATGTATTTTGTTTGACTTACTTACTTTTCTATACCAATAATATAAAGAGGCAAGATTTGATTGTTTGTTTGCATTGAATAGGTAGGTCCCGAAACACTTGGACCAATTTTAATAAATTCTTTTATCTACGAGAAGTGACGTCGTCAGCGGGTGACAGTCTAAAATTCACGCAAGCGGAGTCATGGGAAAACAACTAGTATTGAGTATGTTAACTTTATGCAATTTAAATTATTTATCTAAACTAAATATAAATTTAAGACTAGCCATGTGTTTTTGCTACAGCGACCGTCCTCACAGGCATATAATAGGTCTTAAAAATGTGTTATACAAACGATTTTAATATTCACCATTTTTTTTGCGATTTCCACAAATTTCATGCCGTGGAATTTAAATTATGATAATACAGTGATTTAATTTTTTAAAATTATGATATCATTCAAATATTTTGTTTTTATAACTCAGGGTCTTTTTATTTCTTTTAATTATGATAGCTCAGCGTTTTTTAAATATTTTATTTATAACAGCTCAGCGACTTTTTATTATATATTTTTATTTGATAATTCAGCACCTTTTTAATTTGTAATTATGTTAGCTCAGCGTTTTTTATATATTTTATTTTTAATAGCTCAGCGACTTTTAATATATATTTTAATGTGATAGTTCAGCACCTTTTTAATTATATTAGTTCAGCGTTTTTTATATATTTTATTTATAATAGCTCAGCGCTTTTTGATATATTTGAATTATTAAAGCTCAGCGTTTTTTAATACTTTATTTATAATAGCTCAGCGTTTTTTTTTTATATGTTATTTATGACAGCTTAGATTTTTTTTATATATTAATTGTTAGCTCTGCTGTGGTTTTATACATTTGAATTAAGACAACTCAGAGCCTTTTAAATATGTTCTATAAATTCTGTGTTGTGAGATGTTTGAACTCATAACGCCATGTTTTATGCTTTAATTTAATTCCAATTAAACGACAATTATTTTTTGTCAAATGCTGTTTATAACCGTATTTTGATTTTAAGAACTTTATATAACACCTATTTACTAGCCACTAGGAAATGCGTCTTAGCTACCCTTGTAAATTTGGAGATAGCACATTAAACCATGGTATACAGCTTGCGTGACTATTTAAAACGACACACTGAAACAGAAATCAATATACGAGTAAATTGAGCATAAAAATAGTTAGGTACTTCATTCACCAAAACAACCGAACAGTTGTATTGAACAGCTGATTCTATTTATATTGTACATATACCTACCAGTTCTATTATACATATAAATATTTTTATATATCAGGTAAGTATTAGACAATTATTTTGGTCTAGCAAGAATGTTTCTTAAAGAATTTATAACGTTATCTGTGTTTGTGTTATTATGTTTCACGGCCAACCTGTCTGACATTGGGTCCAAGGTTCGTCGAACTCACGCTTATATGCAGTAGCTGTCTAATCAACGCAGTTGCCATGGTTTCATCGAACTTAGTCGAATATCATCATTCATCTTAAGAATCAAGCTACGGCCAAAGAGAAAACGAAGCTGGGCATTATAAAAAACGGTCAAGTGCGAATCGGACTCGTGCTCATTCTATACAAATAATAAAGTTTATGAGTAAACTATACATATAGAATTATCATAGTTTTATTATTTTATAATCATGAAAAATATTCTCTGTAGGAGCACAGTTATAAGTGCAGTTGTTAGTTTGTCCAAAATTTATATATACCTTATTATCATTTCTGGTGTTCGAAGCGATTGATTCTTTCAAGATTACTGTATCAGAAGAAATATTTTTAACAAATTAATTAAAACAAATTAACAAAATGTTTCATTGTTTTAGTGGTGTACTGCGACTACAACGGCTCTGGGCGTGCTCTACAATGGATCGAGGATTACATTGCGAGGGATGTGTTGCCAACACACGCCACCAGGTGCACTGCGCTCTCTTACACGTCGGGACAAAGCGAGATATACAGGTATACAGTGCAAATCCACCTCGTTTGACCGTTCAGTGGTCACTACTTAGTATTTTAACGGGAAAGAGGCCCACAAACCCATAGAGATAGTACATTACGCATTTTCCCTGGGTCAAATAAAGGCTGCGAACTCTACGGGTTGCACCCGCATTGACCGGGTTAAGATATTGAATGTCTAGCTAGTCAAAATATGAAAAATCTCACCGCTCTCGGTGCGGGGCTTCGCTTCTTTAATTAATTAAGTACAAATAAATCGTCAACATTATAATCAGAGAACTGTTGACAGAACATATCAAGCAAAAGAATTCATGTCAAGCTGCAATAAAATTACCCTACCTGATGACGTTGGCGCCAGCCCGTATCCGTTTGCGTTTTGATGTCTCACGAAACGACAAGGGTAGACAAGAAAGCGCTACCGGTGTCACCGCGATAGCATAAAATTAAATATAAGTGGTTAAAAACTTACAAATTTGGGATCAAACCCATATACCTAAAAAAAAAAACATACAGATTAAGCCATCTAAACACTTTTTCAACTCTATTTTGTTAATCTTACAAAATCACAGATATTACAATACATTTCCTTAATTATATTTTGTTTATATAGCGTGGTGACCTCATTTAATCATTATATAGCCCGGAAAGGTAACGGAAAGGTCACAAGTTCGCAACTACGTAACATTATCTTGATACACAAACGAAGCGAATGACTGGAAAAGGTCATTTAAAGTTTCTTACGAAGCTGTAGATTCCCTTTAAACCATGAAGTAGCTTAAGACAGTGTACCTTTCAAGTCTGTGAACCTCCAGGAAATCTAGTCTGTGAACGCTTTCGAAAGATCCCTTATCATGAAAAAAAAACCTAAAACATTAAATTTTAAAATCTATACACTTGTAAGAGATTTTACTATAATCAAGAGACATAATACTATTTTTCCTTGCGGTTGTCACTTTAAAGCGTGGAGCGAACCAATAAGAATAAATCTACGATTGAACAGAGTAGTCCTAATTGGTTTATTGGATTATAAAAAATAAAGAAAAGTTAATTTTCTACATTAACTCAATCGGAAATCGAACCCGAAACCTCAGCGGTAGCGACATCTTGAAGCCATCGTGCTATTCACTCTACCACCGCGGAGGTGGTCTCTTTTAGATTTATCCTAATATCCTATATTCTTACATTGTAATATAAGTATAAACTCGTGTATAAATTTATGTACCAATGGTGTTGACAATAAAGAGTTATTATTCTATTTTATTTCTTTATATCTTATATCATTAGGTCGGAATCAAAAGTACTGATTCGCTCCGCTGTTGGCGCATGCCCAGAAGATGTGGTGGTATTAGGAGTTTCATTACCAAGGTTCCTGAGAGCTCTGCACCCTCAGAGGGTGGCTCTTTTTGTTTCATCCAGAGAGACAGAGAGGCAGCTTATTCCGTGGAGAGAATGCGGAACCGAGGTAAGATTTAAGTCTTCTTATATATGTTATTCATGATGTTTCCGTAAACCAAGAACAACCAAAGAGTATGTTATCCAAAAAAGCATTTCAAAACTTAAACCCGACTTCAGTTCAATTACACTCTAAAGAGTTTGAAACAAAAAAAAAATTATAACGAAAGGTATATAGCGAGTCGGGTGTTAGTATTTGAACTTAATTTTATTTAATAATTTTTTTATTGGGTGTATTTAAGAAAAATCGCCAACCAAAGCTATCAATATATGTATACATATATTTATATTTATTTGAAATGTGATAATTAAGCCCTTTCATTTAATACCCTACACGGAATGATCGAATAATGATTTTTTTTAGTCCACCTGAGTCGATTTTAATGACCTCCAAAAACCGGCCAAAATCATAACCCTCCTTTTGGCTTCGCCGTAGTCTGATAAAAATCAAAACCCTTTTTTTTGCTACGCCGTTGTCGGGTAAAAACTTCAAATATACCCAAAGTGACTCATTAAAAAGAGAAAAGAATTAAAAAATTATAAAAAAAAAACATTTACTGTACTACAAATTCTCTTTTGTCGAAAACTTATTTCAATGACTTATGTTCATAATTTTAGAAGATTTGAAAGTTTTTGTAAGTGACCCGGAAATTTTGATTATCAGCATAGTATATTTTTATTATTTTCCAAAAACGGTTACTGGCCTGCCCTCAACAGTGGGAACATTAATAGATAGTTCATTAATCAAGCCAAATTTCTTGTGGAGTGTTCTTGTGTCTTAGATATAATTTGATTCCTCGACATTCAAGTTTTCGTATGCTTGAAATAGCCAAAATGGTACAGTTATATTCAAATTATGTGACTACCAGCGAATAGCATTGATATATTTAACCGATGCATCACGAAGGAGGGTAATGTGTTTATTATTCAAATAGAATATATCTGTAACGTTTATGTTTATATTTTCCTTCAAGATCATTGTAGAAGTATTCATAAATAATAATAGTGATGTAATACTTGAAGTTTATAATCAGAGTTATAATTAAGATTTTATTATCATTGTAACTTTGGTACTCGTACACAAATTTAGAGAAGGCAACGACCTGAACCTTGATAAAGTTATTCCTTTAGACAGATAGACGCCTTGTCACGTGTATCGCTAGTTGATATTTAATCAGTTCCACTTATGTTAGACATACTATAGTATATAATATCAGAATCTGATAAGTTTATTTGTTTCCGCGCAAATACATCTTTAGGAAAACAGTTTTGTAACGATTTCAAGCGTGTGTATTACACTGATATTATTATATAGGTACGTTATGGTTCCTCTGTAAGCTTGGTGATCATTACAAGCATATATTTAGGAGGGTTGTGGGGTTCGTGACACCCTTGAACACTAGTCTGAGATGTTTCATATTATCATTATTAATTTTACATGTTGTAACGTTCTAACTAATAATTCTTCCTGTATCTATTAGGTACGATCGATTCTTTGAGGGGTTGGCAATGAGTAGTCTTTACATGCGTTCCCTCGTTTTTATGGCTCGGACATCATATCGATAACACGCATTAAATTTGTATGGTGTCTAAATCTCTAGCTTGTAGCTAATCATGTTATAAACATGATTAGCTCTCTCTCTCAATTCTCTTAATATTGTTATCTGCAAGATGGTAATGATGAGTAAATTTATCATTTATGCCTGCCAATAGAATCACACTTAAGTAAACTAAATGGCAGTTTTGACATTTAACGTATATGGCAATTTATAATATATAGAAATATTCCGGTTCATAAACAAAGTTTACTTGCATAATCTTGTTGACTTAAACATACTTTCTAAATTCACATTCCAAATTTACAAGATTTTTCTTCACATAATTCTGCTGCTAAGAAGTTTTAAATCTCAATATTAAACATTAGCAGTGTTATTAATAAACGAGGTTTAGCGTTGGATTAAATTTACGCTGAGACTGCACTTAGTATTAGTCAAAATTCATATTATTAAACAGAGACTTAGCAAAGGTTAACCTAGTACGAAGTTCTACGGAAGTAATATTTACTCCTAGAAGGTTATATTATGTGTAATATGAAATTAGACTAATACTGAAATTGAAATTTTAGCGTAAATCTACTCTGACGCTAAAAACCTTGTTTATTAATAGCACTATAGAAGTTAAGGCTTTAAGTATACCATCTATAAATATTTAAATATTATAAAAATTGATTCGTATAAGCTCTACTGCTTTTGTATGCATTTAATTAAGTTTTTATAAGTTACTAGCTGTATTGCAGCTATTTCTTTGTAATTTTTTTCACAAAATGTCACCCGTGTATGACGTATAAGTGAAAGATTTTTTTCATATCTAATCAAATGTCGAATAGTTTCGGGACTCTATTCAATGCAAATAAACGAATAATCAGCTCTTTCTTCTTTATAATATTAGTGTAAATAACTTGTAATGATTGATTTTTATAGTCTTTTAACAATGTAGTATGTTATGAACTTAATGTTTATGATACGGGTAGTGGGTACGTAGACATTCGTAGTGATTTGTAGACAATTTATACAGGCAGCAGCACGTAAAGTTACCATAAAATGTAAAATATTTATGCCAGATCTTTATTCGGCATGAGTTAAAGGTTAAAATCTTTTGAATTAATGAATTGAAATAACGAATAAATTGTTTGAATGAACTATTGGAGAAAGTCGGTTTTGTATATGAAGATATACGGTTGCGAAATGTTCATTCAAAATTGAACACGCACCGATTTTAACATGTTTACTTTTGAAGGATTCTATAACATTACTGTGATATCTTCATTGCTATTTTTGTTTGACAAATTAATCAAGTGACAACCAATTTTATAGTCGATAATAGAAACTAAACTCTTTTTGATGACAACATTACTAAGTAATTAATGAAAGTTATTGACATATTAAGCTAAAGTTACATTCAGTTTTAAGTGATAATATCGGAGAATCAACTTCTGTCATTGAATAACAGCTGTGAAATTGCGATAATGGCAATGCGTGTGCGCACTAGCGCAAGCGGGCTTCACAAGCAACACGATTGGTTTATCATAAACTAATTTAATATTTGATAAATATTACAAAACTAGGCTCTGGAACTCGAGAACATTTTTATGAGGCTATGGGTGGCAACCGCAACGCAGGCAGTGGATCATTAAATAACGTGCTATAGTAGACCCTATTCTAATCTACGCAGTCCCTACTGCGACTGAGTAGTTGTACAGAGTGACATAATTAAGTAGGACCCAAGTAACCAAGTAATGTAGGTTATATTATTTATGTTAAATTGGCGTAGAATATTACAAGCTACATTTCAGCACCACAACGTTGAGAGATAAATTAAAATTATATTTTTCTGTCGATTATTCTGGTGAGATAGATCTGTCCACTGGCGTAGTTGAAATTCATGACTTATGGATGCGCTGCCACTGTTCGCGTGACCGTCCGTCCGCCCCGCTTGCTGCGTCATAGCCGCGGCTTATATCGGCAAATTCCAACGATATTCTAGAGCGCGTGTTCACGCCGTTTATGTGCACGTGAGCAATGTTGTTATTGTTTTTGCATACATTTGGTAGTACTTTTACCGAACAGAGTTGAAGGTTTTATACTTTCATCTTGTAGTGTTGTATGTGTTATGTCAAGGAAAGTTGTTGATATTTGTATGTCAATGTTCCATTGCATTCTCTTAAGATTAATAATTTATTTACATTTTCCGTGTCAATATTAAGGCGGAGAAAATATATTCAAGTGGAATTTCTATTGAAGAATGCTGAAAACATGTAAAAGACGATAACTTTGCGATAAGCAAGTAAGGTACAATTATTAAATACTTAGCTGCGACGAGTTTTATTCTCACCGTGTCATTAATATAATTTGACCATAAAACTTCCTTACCTATCTCAAAAACATTGGTATGAAATTCTTATGCTCCATTAGCATGACAAATTAAAAATTGTCTTTGAATTATAAGAGTAGGTAAATATAAATAGAAGTCATGCCAGAACCAACGTGATTTATACATTGTATTAAAAGTAAAATATTTTGTTGTCATTTTATTGGTAGCATAAAATTAGAAATAGGATTCTGTTTAAATGGTTTTATTAAGTGCAACAAATAATAGTATTTTTTACATTTAACAATAAGTTGTACTTATGCGGTTTTCGAATTGACGTCTTTATAAGAAAATAATGAGGAAAATTAAAAAAAGTAGTTTGTTATTATTTTACATAAAATAGATAAAGTTCTAATGCCAAAAAGTAGTCTGCATTTTATTGAATATAATGAATAATTAATTCATTATGTGTCGTTATCTCTTGTGATAATAATTTATTTGTAATGTAAAATATGAATATATGTATTAGTGATTTTAATTATTCTGTAATCTTATGTTACGACTTAGAGCATTGTTATAACGATCATGCCATATGCCACGTGACGTGAGCTTACAATTAATGCTATTCTGGTGAATAGTATTGATTAATAAAATTACACTCACAATAATCTTTGTCTATCATGCTCGAAACGTAATTAATATTAGACATTATTGCATTGATTCCTAGACGAGAAACTAAAACAATCGTGGTATGAAGTAGGTATTATCGGAAACAATGAAGAAAACTGAGAGATATTATAGTAATGTACATTTTCTTTATTGACCCGAACGGGAATCGAAATCAGGATCTCAGACAGTTAAATTTAATTCGGCTCAATATAAATTAACTGTGGCATGTTGTGCCCTAAATAAAGGCGGCATGCTCTGTTGGTTCGAATATGTGGAAAAAATACCGGATGAGAATGATAACTCTGATAGACGGAAGGTGATGATGTCCGAAACTATAAAAGCTGGTGAGCATGGATGAAAAAAGTCATGAAAGTCCAAGAGGCGAAAGATGGTGTAGGATCGTTTGTGGTACTAGGTCTCTTTGCTTACTCCGCAACGGATACGCCGTGAAGATATAGTATATTTAGAAATAGAAATTATATAGGTATAATAGAAATAGTGGAGAAATTGTAAAATATGGGCAATGCTCAGTCAGACTTCGTTTATTTTTGCCGTCAATTAACTTTGCGTATTTTTGTGTTATTATTCAAAACGAGCGTTGTGACCCTAATGATGTCATCCGTTGTTGATAAATGCGCAGTAGGTACAATGTAGTTTGTGTTTGGCATTGGCAATGTTTGGCCCTTGGGCTCATGAGGGCTGGTGTAAGCGGTGACGTAATCGGTTATATAAAAGAACTGGATGCGGCAAAGGAGCTATGAAAAAACTATATTAAAAAAGCTATAGTAAACAAAATTTGTACCTGCTAAATTGATTTAATGGACTATGTGTGTAAAAAGTATAGGAACAAGGTTTATTATCAGAACAAAAATTTCTAAGACGTTTCCGAGAAAAATATTTGAAGTAGTTAGTCTCCCATTTATGTCATTGTCCATTCTAACATTCGGTTGCCCAGATATTGCGTTTTTGTGATAAAGCCGTTGATTGTACCGATAAATCAGTTTATAGTTGATTTTTTCATATCGAATAAAGTGTTCACTCATTCATGTTACAATACAATTTTGATAGAATTTATTAATATTAAAAAAAGTTCTGCGTCTGCGCCAAAAAATTGCTGATCGAAAGAAAGTTAGGTTTCATATTATAATCACTTAGGAAAACATGTAGAATTGTTACTCCAGGGATATTTATATATTATACTCGTATTAATCGTTGAAAGTAACTAATTATTTTGTATATTTGTTGTTGATGTTATTGTCATGTGCATAGATTTTGGAAGAACCTGAAGATTTTGCAGAAAAACAAAGATATATAACTATAATATTCTTTCATTTTTATTAATTTAAATACTTATATTTAAATTAGAAAAATAAAAAAATGAATATAGCTGACAATGCCATATCCAACCACAGGAATGTCGCGGTTTATTATATCCGTGATCATGTTTTATTTATCGATGTTAAATAATTTGTTAAATCAACATAATAATAGATGTTTTAATATATAATTTGTATATTATGAAGACTCTTGTTTCAATAACATTTTAACATTTTGGATACACTGAACAAAATCTTCTTTATCATATGACAGTTATTGCTTGCCTTGCCTCCACTTCAATGATTTCTCACCTGTCAACCAAATTGCTCTGGATTGAATAGATCATTGATGTAAATTGAAACAGATCATTTGATGTCCAGAGAAGAATACAGGCTTTTATGTGAACGAAGTTCTGGGTACAAAATAAACGGTTTTAGCCAAAAGTGTTCGATGGTGCACTTTTCTGATAGTCAATCTTTCCTGAGCAGGCGACGAGGCTATAGATGATTTTTCAGCGAATTACTAACCTTTACGGAGTACATTTACTACATAAGATAACTAAATGAAGAGCTCAGTGGAGTTTATTACATTTTTAACAGACACTGTTATTTGCAATTTGGAAAAATCCTGTGACGATTTTACCTTTTAGAGGATCCTCAAAGGCGAGTTAAAAGTTGATAAACAAAAATTTTTATTTTCGAATTTCTGTTCTACAGAAGGCTTATAAAAACCGTTGGTTACGACTATACCCACCATTACGCATCAGTCAATAACATCTACCAATACCCATCGGGCAACCGTTGTATGTTATACTCGTAGATCGTTTTCCGATGTGATTCTATGTGTGTGCGTGTACCCCTACAGTAGGGAAATTAATAGGCGTTACATAAGCATATGCACTGGCGTGATATAAAACATTAAAGGTCAGAATAAAAATAATGTTTTTATCTTCTTAATGAAAAATAAATAACAAATCCACTTTACCCTGATACTCTGAGATGGGATCCCATCTCAGATTATATTTTCCAGTATAGCAATGTGAATTCAAAATTAATCAAAAACATAATAATGTTTTGATCTTTACTTACATGTTGATTGTTACATGCAAACCTCAAAGTGCGTTGACCCACGCTTATTAATTCATGTCTCATGCCAGTAGGCAAAGTAACATCGTATTCAGATCGACGAATCGTTCAGTTATCGATTCTTATCTAGAGTTGCGAACGTTTACCTCGACATTTTAAGGTTTCAGCACGGAAATAGAACACAATGGTGTTGTGGAATTCACATTAATGATGTTCTGTTCACTGACAATGGTTACTGACGCGGCTATAGACCTCGTTATCGAAGAAATAAGCTCTTGATTCTCTAGTGTGCTTAAGTCACTCCTATATAGAAAGACAGGTAGTATCGATCTCGTGTTCATAAGTTTTGAGACAAACATTTTACTAAAAAATAAAATAAAATGTAACTGGCTGTTATTTTTTTACCGTTTTTGAATTTGGAATGTTAGATTTTCGTTTATTTGTATCGAAAATTCATTTATTTATATTTTCTCCTGATGGAGGGAAAAAAACAATTACGTGCAACTGTCATTTCGCTATTTAAGGCAATAAAAAAAGCGATGCATATTTTCAGCTGTTCAAAAGTTTTCCTGTAAACTGTAACTTCGTCTATTACAAAATACAGCGGTACAAAGGGACAAGTTCGCTGCACGATCGCCAAAGGAGTTGTCGGCCACGTTCTGTGAGAATGACTGCGAACAGTAAAGGCCTAAAGCCGTAGAAAAATTCACTTTTTAATTACCGTATTTGTAAGTTACGACACGTACGTTGGCCATTGCTGCTGAGGAGACGGTGCCAGGAAGATACTCTTCACTGATGAGATTTTTTTTACCGAAAAGTTTAACCGACAAAACAATAAAGTGTACGCTGAAAGTAGCAAGGATATCCCAGCTTTTGCACGGAATGTCTCGCGCACTCATCATTCGGCTAGTGTGCTGAATGGTGGGAACATTTTGAGTGGGACATTTTAGAGCCCGTGATAAAACCACTGTTTGATACGTTATTTCACGTATTTATATATAGTATTGCTGAATACTCGGCGCCATCCCATAAAGCAAAAAGCACCCAAGCTTGGTTGAGGAAAAATGTGCCGGCCTTCATCGCGGCGGAAGAGTGGCCTTCCTTCAGCCCCAACCTCAACCCGCTCGATTATACCTCCCCCCTTTATGGACTGAATTTGAGCTCAGGGCCTACTGAAAAATAACCCAAACTTGGAGTCACTGAAGCAAATCCTTGTTCGTGAAGCAAAGCGAAATCCACTAGAAAAGATTTGTGACGCCATTGATGACTGGCCAAATCGTCTAAGGGCCTCTATTAAAAACAAGGGCGATCACTTTGACTAAAATATATATTTTATTGTTGATTATTATCTATTTAATGGTTACTGAAAATTTTATAAATATATGTGAATTATTAAAAAAGGTACGCAACTTTTATTTCGTCTCAAAACTTATGAATACACAAGGTACAAAGAAGACAAGTTTCATTGGATCGCAGGTATGGAAATAATATCATACAAAAAACGACCAAATTAGAATAAGCGTAAGGATGTAACATCTGGAGAAGACTACAGACACACCTTCACGATAAGATTGGTGGTATGTTATTGAAAGGTCTCAGAAACCATGAAAACCGGCGGAGATTATGGATTTAATGGTCGTGTTTTGTGGAGCTTAGTTCTGCTTGTCTAACCAGTAAACCCAGCTTTATCAAAATACAAGATTTCAATTCGAAATAGGAAAAGTATTGTAATGGGGGGAACTTAAAATTAATGTCTTGATAGTTCTTTCCTATTGTTACCGAGAAAATGTCACCTCTAAAACCATTCGTATTAGAGAAATATATCCTCTCTACTCGAGGAATTTATATTATGGGAGATTTAAAATTCTTCCAAAAGTTATTGATTTTAAAAGATAAAAGGAAAGACTAACATATAAAACATATTTAGTTATTATAGAAAAAGCTTAATTGCAAGTGGTTGTGATGGCAGAGGTTAAGCAATTTTCCGTATTGTCTTTATTTTCCTTATTGTCTAATTTTAAAATCTATCACAATCGCTTCCAATTTCACATTTGAAATATATAATCTCAAACTTCACTACATATGCTTTAGTGATTGTGGTAGTGACGTTTTTTTATGAGATATTAACTAAGCGATATCGCTAATTTAAATGGAATGCAAATATATTAATTTAAGTTTTTCTTAAACTTAAAGCAATATATTGGCGTCTATTACTATTTTTTTATTACGTATCTTGGGACTTTGAACATTACATGATTCCATAAATCGCTACATCTTTGGATGGAATTGCGATGGATTTCGAAATTAGTCAATTAGACATGATAGATATAAATTTTAAGATTTTATGGAACAGTTCATACATAGGCTTTATCGAAATGCAATGGAATAATATTGTTTGCTAGCCACATGTATAATTGATTGTATTTCTTAATAAATTGAAGATTTATGGTAATATGATGATACTCCCACACAGTGTTTTGCAATCATAAGTTATATCAACAGTATTATTTGTGGCAATAGAATATAGAATACTAATATTTATCCTTGACGCAACAATTTTCCTTTTGCGTCATAGCTATCTAGGCTGTGTTTGAAAATATCAATGAAAATATACACATAGACGGATAATGTTCCTTTTGTTATTGTAATGAGCTGTAAAAAGAGCTGAAAATCAGTTGTGATTGTCATGTTTGCGTCATAATCATCCATGATTTGAGTCATCATGGCTCAAGATTCAAGGTGTGAGGATCACTTGTTTGGATTATAAAATGAATATTGCTCATAAACTGTGGAGTAAGAAAGAAACCTAAGAACAATCACGTATAAACAATAGGATGATATTTGTCTTGTTTTTTTAACCTTCGTCTTAACGAATACTATTTCTTGTATATATTGGAGTCAAACCCTTGGTGAATTTGTCATTTGCACAATGAAATTTATTATTCAGTCCAAGCTGCCTACTCAGAGTTAGTCTACAATTTAAGTGCACGTTATGCTATTTTATTCTAATCAGAATTTTGTTTTCTTTTTTTTGCAGATAATTAAAATTCCCGAATCCAAAGAAGGTTTTATAGATCTCAATAACCTGGAACATAGATTGCAACAGAATTCTGGCACAGGGAAACGTATGATTGGGTTCTTCCCTGCCGCTTCTAAACTGACGGGCGTGTTGGCTGATGACGTGGCTACGACTCTGCTCCTCCATCAGTATGGAGCTTGGTCTTTCTGGGATTACACATTGGTGGCACCTACATCGGCAGTGGATATGAATCCGACATTCCCCGGAGTAGATGATGAGATGGTCAAGAAAGATGCATTGTTCTTCAATTGTGAGAAGTTCGTGGGTGGCGTTCAAGGTCCTTATGTGGCTGTTGTAAAGAAAGACGTGTTCAAAAATACGCCTTTGTATATAGACGATGTAGAGGTATGTACCAATATTCTTGTTAAAGTTGGTTATTAAAGTAAGGTAGGGTCATCTAAATTTATTTAAACATTAAGCGTTGGTACTGAAAATTGTAATACTAAAATAGTGGATTAGAGCTTTCTAAGACGACACTACCTTACTTAAGATACATATACTAGATAAGTTTAGTTCAAAATATAAATATATATAATAGTGTAATGGAAACTTTATGTTTACAAATAATGGGAGGTTTATATGGTATTAACGTATTTATATTTTTGAAAACAGGCGTTGTCTGAAAGAATCGAAGAGTTGAAGTCTTCGGAAGCGGTACGGGCCGCACTCGTGATGCAGCTGAGGGACGCAGTCGGTCTCCAGAACATCGCCGAACGGCAAGACCATATTACCAGGTACACAATACGTTACACTTCTTGTTAGCTTACTAATTTGGACTAATACAAATCTTTGAAATGGTACAAAGTTTTTCAAAATGGTGTCATGACTCTATACATTACCTTCCGCACACATAAAACATTAGTATTAAGTTAATACAAACGTTTTCAGTTTCAGAATTATAATATTTAGCGAACCTTTTAATAATTTTGGGTATCTACTATTTTTGTGGGCAATTTTAGGCGTTTTGTATGAAGAGAACATATAATCATAAACACACATTCACACTTTCACATTTATAATGTTAGGAAGATAAGTAAAAAAATAATATGATTATCTGGTGATACTTTTTACTATTTTCCTGTTAACTTTACGTTACTCGAGTGGGAGGTGTTTGCGGAAAAAATCTTATGTAACGCTGACTTAATGACCTAGTGTATGATGTAGCTGATTATTACATGGAAATCGATGGCGATTATAAAATTATTCTTTAAGAATAGTTACACCCGTTATCACTAAACTGTAACAAGGCATAGCTTAACTAGGAAAGGCCTACTCTTACGGATCGCCTAAGTAAATTGGTTAAAATCCAAATAAACATTTTTCTTATACATCTTGGCATATTTTGTGCCCTGTCATATTACGCAAATGCCTAGCGCAAGGCGCCGGATAACGCATGCCATTATTTTAGACGTTCCTAGTCATTGGTGAAATGCATTTTTATCTCAGGCTATTTCTAAATATATGCTACAGATTTGGGTGACTAGTAAAAAAAAAACAAAAATGAAGGCATCTAAATCATCATTATTACATTTTATTTCCCTTCTATTAAAATTTAATGATATTCAGTTTTTAAATAGGTATGTAAATTTTATCTTGTCTCGATAAAATTTTACAATATCCCTAACAGTTTTTTAAATTCAATTCAAAGGTTGAAAATATACCCCTTTCAGTTTTTATGCAGGGCCATCATTATTGGCAATGCTAAGTGAAGATTTTCTTAATTAAAATAACAATTTTATTAAGAAAAGCAAGACTGATTTTACGTTGCAAATTATTTTTTATGTAATCTTAATTTGGAGGAAAAATAGTAAAAGATTATACAGTATAACTATCCTGTATAACGTTTTAAAACTTTTAATTCCAAAGACGTTAAGCTTATTCTAATATAATATCAAATAATTAAAATAAACTGATGAAGCTCATTGATAATTAATGTTTAGCGTCGAGGTGACGTGCGTGTTGCATGGAATTTTCCAGAGTAACAGTCAATAGTCGATCAGTCGCCGTCAGCGAAAATGTTTGTATTGTAGACGCTTCGTTTATTATTGGGTATACTAAATACATAGTACGTGGTTTCTACGCATAATGAATTAAATTCAGAGCTCATGATATTCATATGGAAAACATTTATCTTTTAGCTTTTACCAAATTCTCCTTTGTTGTTCTCTGTTGTGCCGTTGTCAAGAGGGTCATGATTCTTAGACATTATCTATGCTAATATTATAAAGAGGAAAGATTTGATTGTTTGTTTGCATTTTTATTTGCATCCAATACGCTCGGAAATTCAGGACCTATTTTAATAATTCCTTCACGGGTAGCTACATCATACGCGGTAGATACGGGTTAAAATTTAGGTGTGCAAAGTTGCTGATAACAGCTAGTTTTTTTTATATTTCACATCGTCATATACTGTTCATATCCAACGTCACTTAAGGATTATCTTAATATGAATAAATTGAGAATAATACTAGGACTCGAGGTATTATTTCATCTAACGGCTCATCTTGTAATCAACCGTCGGATTTTAACATATGCGCACAAATTCAAAAGGTTTGAATATTGTACATACTTTGAAATACGACGTTTACAAATATGGAGCATCAATTGATATTATGTCAGTAATGTTCTAAGCTTTTGTTCATACCGATTTTTCTAAGCCAAACGATTTAGAATTTAGAGGACTGCTTCACAGATAAATACCATATTAGGATCGACTTGATTTTGAGGAATGATTTGATTTTTGTTTGTATGTTTATTTACATCGAATAGGCATCGAAATTACAATACCGATTTTAAAAATTCTTTCATCTACGGGTAGCTACATCATACGAGGTTGACATAGTCTATAATTTAAGTAGGCGAAGTAGCGGGTAAATTATTGCTTTAATAGCTAGTCTATAATAAAATTCAGCTACAAACCAATGTTGAGTGTAGCGCAGTCACAGCATAGAGGTTTAATGAAATAAAACCTTTAACACATTTTGATGTAGGCTTTATTTAACCGTGCCTTAATACTGTAACAGCGCTGTGCTCAACGTCAAGTTCATCGCTGACTAATTAAAAATACTGAATTCAAGGAGTAACTTAGTTATTAGCTATTCTTTATCTAGCGGGTATACTTTACAAATCACGTTTTCTGCATTCTGTTGTAGAAGTATGATGTAGTTTTTTTTAATATTTTTATTAAAAGATTTTCTGTCTTTGTTGAGTCAGTAATTTTGTTTGTACGTGCCTCTAACAAATTGTGTACGGAATCCCAATATGAATCTCTGCATTGCAACCACATTTGAATTTCAATGGAGGTGTGACGTCACCTACGGAGTTAGCACAACAACCGAAATGAGATTCGTACGTGCGTCGTCGGCAAATGCCACACCTACTCAATACAAGTAAATATTGTTGTTAAACAACAAGTGATGACAATTACGAATTGTTCCGTGTGCGTCCCCGGCGGTTATTAGAATCGTATGACGCTGTTTGTTGGTATGCGAAACGGGAGATAATAAATTAACGAAATTGTTTAAGGTCCCCAAATACACACGTAATGTTCCCGATTGATAGCAAAGTTAGGTAGGATCTGTGGAATATCACATTCATCCTATTATTGTCATAAATGTCTTTCCGTGCTGGGGTACAGCGTAATGGTAGTTGTAAATGCTGTAACAACAACGGTTTAAAGTGCCGTACAAAGTATTGAGAGGCTCTAGACGTCTCCTAAACATTCACAACCGCAAATCTTACATGTTTGACAAAATTATTTGAAAAGCAATACAGACTTAATTTGATTTCATTGCAAATCGAACGCGCCTACTCAAATTTTAAGCGGACTACTGTATATTATATACATCAGTCGCCACTGCTGGACACAGGCACAGCCCTTCCTTATGGATGGAATAGGGAAAATAGATTATGGCCCATTATGCAAGCCTAATGTGAATTAATGGATGTTAATGAGATGCAACCGGGACCAACGGCTTAACGTGAAGCGCCGAGAAGCGACAAAATAGTATCATAAGATACCATCCATCCTATGACTAGCGCTTGAGAAATTTGCTTAACTTCTGCATGGCATTCCGAAACCGTAAATCACTAAGCCATCGAGTTCAGGGATTTCATTAAAACCCAAACCTCCACTAATATTTTCATCATTTTAAAATGACATACATCAACGATTCAAATTTTCAATTTTTTAAAATCAATTAAAGCTTAAAGTCGTTATTAAACCTCGATGGACATTTGTGCAACCGAGTGAGAGTTACAGCGATGAAAATAGGTTACATTTCCGCGGTATATTTGCTCAAAAGAGCAAAATACAGATATATTCCTCACAATACATTAAGATTGCCGTTCCGAATCGGCGTGTATGATCAGAACAGGCGCCATGTTTATAAATCACGGTCTCGTTGGTCTCCAAATAGCGTTTGTGTTTGTTCAGGCAGTTTACCACCGCAATCATTAGCACGCGGCGGTCAGCTACCGATCACGTGATCTATACACAAACACATACACTATATTGGTTTCATTTAGATTTTTTCATATTATTAATAGCAATGGCAGTTTATTAACGCGAGTTTCTCCGTGAACCGGAGGTCCCGGTTGCATTTGGATTCGTTGACACCCACTTATCCGCACCAGGCCAAATCGTTGTTAGGTAATGGAACATAGTTTCTATGATTAATTTTTCATATGATGTTAATCGTCCGAGATTTATTTTTTATCTTCTAGAAAAATATCTATCTCGGCCGGTCGATATTTGGATTGAGTCATCTAGGTTGAGCCCTTAAAAATCTTCCGATAACCGGCTACCCAAACAATGTTACTCTATATTCTAATCATGATGCAAAATTAAAAGTTACTTAATACACGGAAAACATTCACTTGGCAACAGTTTATTTAAAATACATATATATATAATTTTTACAATTAGCCATTATGGTGGAAGATAATTCTAAACCGATGTTTTTTAATTTAATGATTCTTATTATATAGTTTTAAAGATATTTATAAAACGAAGAATCATATGGTTGCCTATATTTTGAACTAAAATGGAAATAATGAACCAATACACGTTAAAATAACAATAAATATTCATGAATTTGTAAAGATCAATGTCAAGGATACTTTGTTTGTATACATATTTAACATAAATCGTAACTTGGTTGCTTAAGGTGGCTAGTAGGTAATATGTTAGAAATACAAAAAGACATAAATATAGTTTAATAGGTAAAGTGAAATTGTAGCTATATATTGAAAAATCGGTCAATACCGGTAGGTAACTAGGTATAGTAAGACAGATTGAAAATAAACAGAAAACGAAACTATAGGAGCATGTGCCTACCCTAAGATGGAATAGATTAAAAAGGATGAGTTGACAAAACACCCTCCAGTACTGACTGGTGGATGTAAATAGCTGCAGACGCAGCTGCAACCATCTATCCCATTATGTGGCTCGGTGGCATAGTGGATAAGCGCCGCGGACTGCATTACCCTTCAATCGGAATTGGGCCAACGTGATCATGGCCCATCCTATTTAACCATCCATAAGGAAGGCGTGAGCTCCTACAGTGGGGACGTAAAAGCGCTAGTGATTATCCTATGACCGCTAGTGATGAAATAAAATGAGAAAAATTATGGCACGTTGCGAGAAATCAATAGTAAAAATGAATTAAAAAAATATATTACAATTATTTCATTTCTTGAAATCGCACGTCGGAGATATGATAATTCCGTAACA